TTGGTCAGCAGATGGCTTGGCTGGGGCCTGGCTGGTCAACAGCTAAATCTGGCCCAGATCAGCCGAACATCCTAGCTGACTCATGGGCTTATGAGTATTAGAATTTGCTCATGACCTCCAAATAGATGTCTGTCTCTCTGTTTCATTTTGTGACCATTTTACATGCGAAACAGAGGCTAGAGAGATTAAGTAACTTACCTGAGATTGCCTGGCTAAGAAAGAGCACACTAAAAATTTGAACCATGTAAGCCAGTCTCCAGATCCTGTGCCGTAATTACATGCTTGGCTGTTTGTGATTCAGCGTTAATTTCTACCTCATTGGGATGTTGCATTTGACGCATAACGTGATGCTGTTTTACGTCCTGCTAGCGTTTAATTTGGTGCTTCCTGCTTAAAAAGTACAGTATTTTAGTGCCACTTAGTTACTTTCACTAACTTCTTGCACCCCCTCCTGACCATTTTGAACTAACTTTTGAGTTCGGAGGTGAGGAAACAAATTCTCTTTTGCCTTTGAATATCCAGTTGTCACAGAAATGTTTGTTGAAAAGACTACACTTTTCTCATTGAATTGACTCGGCACGTTTGTGAAAAACAGTTGACCATAAATAGAAGGGTTTGTTTCTGGACTCTTAGTTCTCCTGCAGTGAGCTGTGTGCAAGGAGGACACATTTAAAGACTCACTCCAGCCTAAATGGAAAGGCCCTTATCACGGACTTTAAGTTTAAAAGCCCTTTTATGCTGGGAACAATTAAACCATACTGAGGATAACCAGCAGACTAACACTAGGAAATTGGGCTGGATGCTAATACAAGGCTAATACCTCATTTCCCTTAGAGACAGCAATACGAGGCAGACTGGATCAGAGGACTGAAGATACTGAGTCGTTCCTAATGGAACTGAATGGATTTGCAGTACCAGTTTATGGCCTTGGCTTCCACCAGGATGGATAGAATGATGTATCTTAGGATTCCCTTGGACTCAGGGTCACTTGGGTGCCAACATAGATGTGGCCCCAGCAAATTCACCATTGGTAGGAACCCGATGGGTCAGGAGATCTAAATTTCATTGGTATGACCATTTGGCAGCCATTTTTGTGCCTTCAGAAGAATTGGAGGATATAATCGGCCAGATTGAAACCTTAAGAAAATTCACTCGACAGGCTATACGTGATAGTAATCAGGTTATTAGCCTATTGAATTCTGAGGCCTCTGTTCTGAGAAAAGTGACGTTACAACATCAAATGGGCCTCCGCATCCTTACAGCATCTCAGGAGGCACCTGCTCCATAATTCAGACTGAATGCTGCTTTTTTTCCCACACCAGGTAAATCCTCTAAGATAATGCATTTAACGACTCACATGAAAAATCAGATTTCTTCCTTAAGTGATCCACTCC